CCTTGGCTTGTTGGCTTCCACACGGTGCTTGGTTCATAGTCTTTGGTGCTTGTACTCATTCCACTCGTTGTGTTTGTGAACACAGGTGTATTTTAGGTCAGTTTTGGGATACATTCCCAAAACTCAAAGTGGCAGCGGAGTTACAACTGTGACTGAGGACACTGGCAGGTCTGTCGGCTGCCGCCTGGGCTGACTGATGGCAGCAGCAGGATAAGCCATCCCTACGCAGATTTGCTTTCTGAAGTGAAAGTCTGCCTGGTTTAAAACCTCTGGTTCATCAAGGGTACAAACACAGGTTGTGCTCAAGGGCTTAGTATCACTCAAATGCAGTAGAAGTTGTGTGAGCCTTATTGGAGGAATCAGCGAAAGGTGCTAGTGGATTCTTTAAAACTGTCTTGTAGATGATGGCTGCTGCTGGTGAGTCCACAAGCTTTGACGAGGAACAGCTTCCTGGTAAGAGAGAAACTATCATTTGGGAGCCCAGAAAAGGTAAGCTAAAAAAAGATTAAGGATAAAAGAAAGCAGATAGTGAGTAATGAAACTTAGCTTCAGAAAATATACCTAAAACTTTATTTTTTTTTAAACCAGAGCTGTGTTTTTTCAACATGATTGTTTTTAAAATATACCAACAGTTGAATGTGGTGAAACAAGATTGTTGGCTCCTTTGCCCTAGTTTAAAGACTTGATTTTCCACAGACTTTTGTTGGAAAATCTGACTTGGGCTAGTATTGTGATGCAAGCCTGTGTGCGATGTTCCCAAGTATCTGAAACTTGAAGCAGCACTGTAGTGATACTACATATGTAAGAAATTGCATATATCATAATTAGATTAGTAGTCACAAAGTGTATTCATGTACCTGTATAAATTATTGCATGCTCAGCATTTAATTGTTCCTGTTTAACTCCTAAGTATCTCTGTTGGCTCTTTCTGTTTTAGAATGCTTGCAGAAGAATATTCCAAATATTCTTGATAGTGAATCTGAAGAAAGTGGATTCTCTGATACTTCTCACAATGAAAATGATGTCAGTTGCTCTTCTGTTCACTGTGTTCATATGTGGCCTGACCTGGAAGACTTGGATGGTGATGTCTCCAGTATACCTGAGAATGTAACTTCTCCAGAGCTGCAAACTGCTGCTGTGTACAAGGAGGAAGACTGGGATAAAGAAATTGAGGAGGCTGAATGTAGCCCTTACGGTGAGTACAAATTCACTTGTGCTTCATTTGACTTTTGGATAGTGTGCGATTGGAGGCAGGTGCTTTGCAGGAAAATGTATTTAAATAACTGCACGTTCTATTTTGGGAAGCAGTTTTTTTGTTGTTGACCTCATGGATTTGTAATGCATAATTTTGTTGTCAAATACAGGATTTAAAGTCAGTGTTGTGAAGTTCATGTGAAACTCTTGCTTCAGCACTTGAATTCTTAGGGAGTGGAATGAATGTACCAAGTTTCCCTAGTGAAGTTATGACTCGGTAGTATTATCTTCAGTATTCTGAAGCAGAAGAGAAAGAAAAGAGAAAGCATAAGGTACATGGAGTGCAGGAATGTAACCTTTTTGTGTAAATGGAGTTCCTCCTTTCCTCGAAGAAAATTCATCCAGACTGTACACTGTGATGTATCAGGAAATATCAATTCTCTGTTTATTTTAATTCCATAAATGGCTGTCGTATTGTTCTGTTGTTTGATAACAGAAGGAAGTGGGAAAGTTTTTGCAGCCTTCCTATAAACATGGCTGATTGTAAAACATAAATACAATAATGTTTTTTCACACTGGGTAATCTAAGAAAAAGATTGCCTCCTTTTCGGATGTTTCCCTGTCTTCCATCCTGGGCTTTCCTTTTAATCTCTCATCTGCTCAAATTTATGGAATGTTTTGAATGTTTTTTTACTGGAACTGTTACAAGTTCTCTTTTCCTTTATTTAACTGCTTTATCCATACTTACAGCTTATGCCTTCACAAACTTGAAGGAACCTATGATTACGGGATTCAGGTGCTTGTGAAGGATACTAAGTATAAGTGTCTGAGTTGTTAAAATAAAAATACACCTGCTTGGTTATTTTTCGCCTTTTAAAAAATGCTTGCTTTCATGGCTTGTTTGGCAGTGGTACTGGAAATCTGACACGTGGATATACTTTGGTGGGTCCTCTGTAGCTGTGTACTCTGGGCTTTTGATTTGCTCAGTACTTTTAGTATCTGCTCGCTAGAAATCTTGTGCTTCTGTTAGAGGACTTTGCCCTATTTTTGTGCTAGGTTGGTTAAATAACTGGCTTATTTGGCTTAATTCCAGCCTAGTAGAAGTGGTGTTCAGAGCTCGCTGCTATGGGACCCCACCCTCCCATTCTGTCCGGTGACCCAGTTCTTAAAGGGTTTGGAGGGCTTCTAATTGGGATGTGGTTATGGAGACGGCAGGAAGGGCGAGGAGAAATAAAATTGTTTGATCAGCCTTTTATGCCTGGAGAAAATGTAGAATAACTGCATGCATTGTAAGAACTGGTATTGGATGTTCTGAATTCAGGTATAGTATTGAGAGAGATATATATATATATATATAGCTTTTTGGAAAACTGTTTTGTCTCTGTGACAAGAACCTTCCTTAAAATGAAGACACTGCCAAATTCAGCTTTCTGTTTGTATTGTTTGTAGGTCTAACTCATGAGTGCAGGCAGATTAGACTGAAACACTTGATTGGAAGATGCTGTAGACATGCAAAATAATCTGCTACGTTATACCATTAGTTTTCTAAGTATCTCCTATGGCTTAAATATTTTCTTTGATCTTCTTTAGATGCTGACGATCTCCACTGTGGAAGCTTTCAGGAAAATAATCTTTTGGCCTCATGCACGTGGCGAGAGGATTGGTTTTACAACCCAGGCTGTCACCATGCACCTTGCCTTACTTTTCCACCACCAGTTAAAATGACTGTGCCTGGCCAGTTTGATGATGCTGATGAATGAGGTTGACCCTGGTCAGAACTAAGTTTGGCTTCTGAGTTGCATTTTGTTCTTCACTCATTGAGTCATGTCAAGTCCTTGGGCTTGCTTGTAGTTCTGCATAAGGCCAGAAATGCTACTCTGGCTCCAAAGTTTTGCTTAGAGTGCTTCTGAGCTGTTTGCAAATTGCCTACACCTGACCCCTGGAAGTGAGAATGCAGGTGCTAGCTGCAAGGAGTCAATGCATTTCTGGATTTTTTTGTTTGTAGATCTATGTTATTGCTAACTAATTGCTGGAGAGGAAGTATTTCATTTCTAAATATCAGCTTGTTTGCCAAGCTTTACCGGTTTTGACATGCTGATCCCTTGTGTGTCGATGCAAATTGTAGTTTTCTTTCCTTTTCATTTGATGCTGTCAGATTGATTCTGATAGCTTTAAAAACTTCCTTCTTCCAACTTCTCTGTTGTATTGCTATTTTGCTGTTTGTGATTCCATATCCAATACTGGTGTTTGACAAGATCAGCCATGACAAATACAGAATGAGTTGTTTTGTTTTTATTTTTATGTTTCAGTATGAGGAATTAGAAATATGTGATACACATTTTGCAAATACATGTGGACATATAGTAGGGCCTGCTGCATCCAGTAGGAGTGCCGAGTGTGTAAGACTGCCTCTCAGCAAAGGCTTGTCTGCATCAGACCTTCTTGTATATGGTGAATTATCTGCCAGTCTCATAGCTGCCTTTATAACACTCTCTTGTGGCATCAAGTGTGTAATGAGAAAGAAAATATCTGTCTCTTGAATTATATAATCTCTGTGTCCTGCAAACTGTAGTGAATTAAGGTTCCTAATACTGCTGATACATTTGTTTTGTTGTCTGTGGGCAAATGAGGAGATGGGAACACAAAATACCTCCATAAAGTCTCAGAGAAAATATCTGGGACTAGAACCACATCCCTCTTGCTTTTGCTTTGGACTTAAAGGAAATGTTCTCAAACGAAGTACGTAAGTGAATTGAAAGGCTGGTCACTTGAGTAAATCTAATCTTCTACTAATGCTCATGTTTCATTAATCGCTTAATCTCTCAAGAACTTTTTGATGGCCTTGTGTTTTGACACTGACTGATACTGGAGCACAGTCCCCCTGTTTGTTTATTCTCAGGCAAGGAGTTAACAGTGACTAGTAGAAGACTTTTTAATCATCCAATTTTGAGACTGAAATAATTTACTCATTAGGAGGAGGAAATGAATGACACAGTGATATCTGCTTAATCATTTCCTTGAGACCAGAGAAGGACAAGAGCTCTGAAGAGTCTTTTCTTCTGGTTCCTTGTAGCTCCTGATTACGTCTTTAGACTTAGCAAGCCATCTGAATAAGGAGTGGAAGTCTGGTGGTGAGGTTGCAAGAAAGAGGGCCTGTTCTTTTGTTCCTGTGTGATGGAGTGATCTAGGGATTCTAGAGATCTAGTATTTCCATCCAAACTTACTTTGGCATTTCTCCGGAACGTGTACATACAGCAGAAAGCACCGTCTAATGGACTATCCCTGCACGGCAAAAAAAAAAAAAGCCCTTGCTGTGGTCTCCAAGACCCTGAAGGTGTCTTTTTGTTCTGTGGATTGCTGTGTATCTGAGAGACAGTGCTGCTCTTTGAGGGCTGCATTAGTTAGAACATGTGCTTGGCTCTGGGGAATAGAAGTGAGAACTGTTACTTGGTTTATCGGGTTTGGATATACAGTGGCTTCTTTAACAGAAAATGGAATGAAGCTTTGAGCATAACTATAACTGATTCATAAACTGGAGCAACGTTGATAGGCATTTATAAATGAAATATTAATAAATATAAATTGAGTACAGATTACTGTTGAAGTAACAATACACCAGTAAATTGTAAAAGTTCTTCTGAAAAAGCATGCATTATTTTGCAAGCCTTTTCACCACCTCCCAGGCTTCAGCCACAGGTGGCAGTGCTCGATGCTACCCTGAAGAGGGCAGCAAAAAATTGTTCACCCTGCTCAGCGTATTTTCAGCTGGCACTCGGTTTCATCAGCAAGTGTCAGATCCCCGGGCTGGATTTCTAACGTTGATAGCAATTTAGTTCTGTGTTTTGCATAGCCCTGTTGTTCCCCAGCGAGACTGATTCATGGCCCTGATTAGTTTCTCATTTTTTTAATTTCACTCTGAAGTTATACTTACTGGACTGAAAAATTTCTCCTGTGGCTAAGAAAAGAACATCACTCGACTTCAGGGTTAATGTATTTTTTTTGTTTTACTATGCTTCTGGGAGATGTCCCACTGTAGTTAATAAAGATGAAACTAACAGAATTCTATGGAAGCAAACCCGCCTGTTGCAGAGTTATTTTAAAAGGATAACCAAAATGTCTTTATAACATCAATTAGGATTATTTTCTTCCTGTATGGTTCCAAAATTCCATCAGTACCGAAGTCTTCAAAGCCACTTTCTGTGCATTCTATAAGTACTTTGTTTTTTTCAGCCTGTATCTTTAATTGCAATCAGCCTTGTCTGTCTCAACTGTCTTATTTGAGGAGAAATCGTCTTGAATGGTTGCCTTGCAGAGATGTTTGTATTTTAAAGGATTGTAAACTTAATGGGAAACTGAAAACAGCTTTTACGGTTAAGCCTGACACCACCCCCAACAGCTCTGAAAAAGACAGTCATGAAGATTTTACAGCAGAGATGCATTGCGCTCTCTAGGGATATGTTGGCAAATGTAACTTCGTTTGTCTTGGCCCTGCTTGTTAGGGAAGGAGCTTAATGTAAAGCTTGATCTGAAT